CCAGAATTAGAATTGCTGGGTCATATAGTAATTCTAGTCTTAAGTTTTTGAGGAACTGTCATACAGTTTTCCTAGTGGCCGCACCATTTTACATTTCCACCTACAGTGCACAAGGGTTTCAATTTCTCCACATCCTCACCAACACTTGTTATTTTCTGGTTGTTTGATAGTAGCCATCCTAATGGGTGCAAGATGGTATCTCATTGTGGTTTTGATGTGCATTTCCCTAATGATAGGAAAGTTGAGCACCTTTTCATGTGCTTATTGGCTATTTGCATGTCTTCCTTGGAAAAAAGCATCTGTTCAGTTATCCTATTATTATGATCTGTATTTCTCTACTAATGATTTTGGCAATCTCCTCATATGTTTCTTGGATTTTGGGGTTTCCTCTTCCCAAACTTGCCTGCTCATAGACTTTGTCCATTTATTTTTTCTTGTTAATTTGCACGAGTTCCTAGTTTATGGAGGCGCCAGTGATCTTGTAAATTTTAGACTTTGCACATATCTTCTCTCATTTTGTCATGTGTTATTTGGAACAGATATCTTTAAATTTTGACATAATAAAGTTCCCCCTCCCCTTTTTTGGTTTATGGATTGTGCTTTGAAATTTTGTCTAAGGAATCTTTTCCTCCTTCTGGGTCTCAGAGATGTTGAGACCTTCCATGGTCCCTTCCATGTTGTTTTCTATCAATGTTATAATTTGGCCTCTCACATTGCCTCTTTAATCCACCATCTGAGCATCCACCTTGTATGGGATAACATCGTTTTTCGCTATAAAGCAAGTCAGAGTTTTCCCAATAAGAACAACTCTTTTTCCACTGGCTTGTGATGCACCTTTTAACACATATCAAGTTCCCCTGTAACCAAGGAACCACCTCTGAACTCTCCATGCCATCCCAATAGGTCATCTATTCTTTCACAAATATCATATTGGTTTTTTGTTTGTTCGTTTTCTTAGAACAATGTCACTGTAGTGTGTCTGAGTATCTGGGAGAGCGAGTTTCCTTCCCACCCTCCTTTTACTTAGGCATCTACAGACCTTTATTCTTCCTCGCACATTTCAGAGTAAGTTTACATAGCTGGAAGTTTCACTGGCACCACAGTGAAGTTATAGATTAGTTTAGGGAGAACTGACAGAGTCATATATCAGGCCACCCCTCCCCAGGGCACGAGATGACTCTAGTTGGGGAGTGTCTACACCCCCACTTTGCTCCCTCCCAGCAATTAGCGGGCAATGGATGGAGTTTGCTAAATTAATGCTACGGAGGAAATCTCCAAGGAGGAAGGAAGAGTGGGCCTGGAATGTTCCTCAGCACCATTCCCTCTATTCCCAGCCAAGTTGGGCAATAGAGAGGAAATACCCTGTTATAGAACCTATGTTTTCTGGGTAGGCAAAACCCAAGTACAATGGAGGAAACACATAAGGTGAGAAGTTGGGCACCTCTAGGTGGGGGCAAAGGGCAAGGGGATCACAGAGCAACAGAATAACTCCTAGCTTTCCCCAGGGTGGCCCAACCCTCCTGGTCAGCATCACATGGTGGCACTGGCTGGTTTACCATCATCCCTGATGTTTGGAGGATCAATCATGCTTTTCCAAGTGCGTCTGCCCCACAATCTTACTGAGCCACACCCCAAGCATTCGAAGTAAGTAGACAGATTATTACCCCTATTCACCAGCAGAGAACTAAGGTCCACAGAGAGGGAAGTTCACTCATCATTCAATAAACGTTTATCAAGAATCCATAGTGCTGGGCCCTTTGGCAAAGCAGAGACCAGACAAATGGCCCCAGCCTGGTGTTGGTAAGTTAGCAGTAGACACCATGGTTGACACGTTGTTTTTGTCAGTCAGCATCCCTTTCCTGAGGAAACCAACCCCTCCACACCCCACTCCTGCTGAGGTGGTTAATCATGGTGTCCCACTCACTGCACACAGTTAGGGAAAGGGGGCAGGGGTCTGGGTGGAGCCCACATGTCACCTTACCCCTTGGACACAATGATTGGCCCAGACGGTAGGCAGATGATCCTAGCAGAACCAATCAGAGTCTTCTCTGGGGTTTTCATACGGATGTTGGGGGACAGACATTTCTTTCTACTAAGGTTGCTAGGGTGGACAGATATAAGTCTTGGGCTGCTGGCAATCATCCTGGTATAGGATAGAGCCTTCAGGAAGAACAAAACCAAGCTGAGACAAGTAGTGCAGACACATGAGAGAGAATCAGAGACCTGAAAATGTTGTTTGAGCACTGGATCAAGCCATGCCTGAAGCTAACATGCCTATACTTTCCAGTTATGTGAGCCAACCCATTATCTTTTGACTTAAGTTTGTTTAAGTTGGAATCAGTGGAAAGGAAAAGAACCCCACTGGACAGAGAACCCAACAACAAGCCCAGCTTTCTGCCCATTCTACTGTGCTGCCATCCCTCAGGTATCACCAGACACTTTTAGGTTGGGGCTCATTTTGGTCCTAATTCCTCTTTTCTCAAAATCTCTTTGAATCCTAATTCTGTCAGCAAAAGTCCTTTATTCCTTATTGTTTCATGCCACCCGCTAGAAGGCTAAACCTGCCTTATGGATCAACATCCAAGTTATTGATAAAAATGTCAGGGTGAAGGACAGAGCCCTGTAGCAGGAAAAACCCTCCTCCCACAGGCCATCAACCTATTAATTTTTCACACCATTTCTGGTCTTCATAGAACCAAAGATTCTCATTATTATAAAATTACTTCACATTCCCCACATCCCATACCCCCTGCCCCTGCAGCTTCTTGGCTCAAGTTTTCAACCTTAAAGCTGCCAATCTTGGCCAGGAAGAAAGTGGCCTGTGTGGTGAGCATCTGTTGGCGTCTTCCCGGCATCCATCTTCCCATTCTGCCACTAGCAGCACCCAGATTTCACTTCTCCATTCTCAGCAGTGTGGTTTGCTGCACTATTTAATACGACTTTATGGAAGGTTCTAGGATAGTGGAAGGAGCTACAACACAGAGCACAACCAATGGTTACCTCTAAAGGTGACTGTGCTGACTTCTTGGACATGAAGGGTATCCCAGAAAGAGGCCCTTTCCCCAGCCCCCCTGGTGAGCCCCAGAGAGAGGGGCCAGAGCCCCCCTGTCCAGATAATGCCAGCCTCCGTCCTCTTCCAGATGCCCTACAGCAGGAAGACCCATCACATTCAGGGAACACCGAGCCCCAACCACAGGGAGGGCCTTTGTCCCTCTAGACCCAGGGAGTCAGTTACTTGCGTCAAGGCATTCTGGGTGATGCAGTCTGGCCTGAATTCAGGGTGGGGCTCTGGAAGTTCAGTCCAGGTTGGGTGGGGCCAAGCCCAGATGAGTTTCTCTGTTTCTCCCAATGTCTGATCAGCCAGAGTCAGTCTGCATGGCAGCCAGCCTGCAGGTCTTGCTGCGTGGCAGCTCCATGTTTTCTGCACACTGTTTGATGAAGGGCACACTGAATCCTCTGTACCCCAACTAAGATCCAGGTCTGAGAGGTGATGCTTCTTTTTAAATGTTCAAATTGCAGCAAACAGCAAAAACAAAACACATTTCTTACAAAGTAGCCACATGACTGAGGACAGAACTCTGCTACCTGACAGACCTGGTTTCTGCCGTCACAATATGCAACTTTCAAGTCGGAAGCATCTGTTTTGGGTCACTTCTCAGCATTAAATCTCCCTGAGAAGGAGAAGTGGGGTCCTACGGGAAACTGCGAAACTCGAATGCCCATACGGATGCTGTTCCCAGGAAAAAGGGACATCAGGTAAATTCAAGTCTATATCCTTAGGAGGCAACTTACAACTTCCAAATAAAGGTGGTTTTGTTTTTGTTTTTTTCAGCTTTAGAATCTCAGGATTTAGTTGTGGCTAGTGCACCTTGATACAGAAGAAAGGTAAGATGGGGGACAAAATGGATTCTGCAAATACTGAAAGGACATTGCAAACCTGGGTGAGGATGAGTGGACACAAACATACGGCCTAGGTAGATAGACACCAAGTAGCATAAAGAAGGTAGAGAGATGGCTACACCCTGGAGAGAAGGGTAGGGGCAGTCACATCAGGGGTAGTGAGTCAGAGAGAGGGAAGAGATGTGAACCAGCCTTCTGCTCTCCCACCCAGCCAGGCTCTGATGTGGCTTTGCTCACGCAGTGTCACAATGTTCTGAAACCGTGGAATTCTCTGGCATGTTGAGTGGGCTCATTACACGTGGAGCTGTGCAGGTCATTCCATCCTTCATTTATTCTATATGGGCTGCCTACTACTTGCTGGTCCCCTGCTGGATGCCAGGATCAGTCAAAAGATGAATGAACCAATAAGATCTTCGTTCACCTGGAGCTTAGGGCCGAGACAAGAGTTGTGTATTAATCAAATAAGCACACGAATAAACAAACACACGGGTCATAGGGCCAGCTGAAACCCAGGCACCTTGTGACTCTGGCACGTCCCTGACTATGGAATTCTTATCAACAAAGGAAATGACACTGGGGAGACCTGACTTGTTTTTCATGACCTCAAACTGGCTTCCGGTGATTCTCTTTTCTAAGTGTCCCCAACTCAGAATTTTGCTGCAGCCTAAATTCCAGCGTGGCAGCGTGTGTACCCGGGGAACCTCTTTCATCAGAACCTGGCTGCCCACAAGTCCTCGTCCAACCTTCCGGGAGCCCTGAGTCTCACGAACACCTCCAAAGACCCCACGCACCGGCGGGCTGCGCCTAGAAGGAGAAGCAAGGCGCAGCACACACCCAGGGCCTCAGGGACACACCACACCCCGCACGCGGCGTCCGCATCGCCCCGCCCACACCCCTTGAGCGCGTGTCACGTGTTCACGCAGCGCGCACCGCGGCGTGGGCGGGGCGCCACGGAGGCGGGGCTTCAGGCCCAGCGTGCGTTCCAATTGGCTATCAGGGCTGCCTTCCAGACCGGCGCGTATAAGCGGCGGGTCGACGCCATCCGACCTCCTGACTGGGCTGCGGCTTTGGCGCGAGTTGGCGGCAGGTGTGAGGTGAGACCTGCGCGGGGCGTTTCGTGCTGGGCCGGGTCGGACCGAGCCCAGGGTCGTCGAGAGGCTTTCTGGCTCCCGGAGCTGCCCGCAGGGCCTTGGTGACAGCTGGCGGGGACTGGACAGAGCCCCGGCCCTGTCGCCTGCCGCGCCAGTGACGCCCTCTGAGGGGCCGTGGTCTGAGGGGCAGCTTTGCTTGGTCCTTGGCCTCGGGCGCCCTAACCCGGGGCACGTGCCCAGGATGCTGTTGGACCCCCTCTGGGTCTGGGGGCGGCTCGTGGAGCGTCTGCCGTGGGCTGCGGAGGGACCAGTGCTGAGGGCCCCGGCTCGGGCTGGGGGCGAAGAGGTCATGCTCGAGTCTGGTTCTTTGTAGGGGGCAGACAGTGCAGACAGGAACGGGTTTGGACCTGATCCTTGGGTCAAAGGCTCTAAACGCTGACATGCAGTGCGCAGGGGCCCACATCATGTGCCATGGATGGTGGCAGATGGCAAGGCACATGGTGCCTGGCTAAAGGGACAGTGGCCCTGGGCTCCAGCCAGCTGAGGCCCTGTGGGGTGTCTGCCACAGATGCCAGGTCTCAGGGGTTTATTAAACAGCAGCCGCTGGAAACCTTGTTTTTTGTGGGGGTTTTTTGCTGAGGAAGATTGCCCTGAGCTAACATCTGTGCCAGTCTTCCTCTGTTTTGTGTGTGGCTCACCACCACAGCATGGCCACCAATGAGTGGTGTACGTCTGTGCCTGGGAGCTGAACCTGGGCCACCGAGCATGCTGAACTTAACCACTGGCCATGGGCCGGCACGTAACTCTGTTTTTTATGTAAGAAGCTCTCTAGTTTTAAATGTTAATGTTAACTTGACAGGTTCTGGAATATCGTGTGGCCAAAGGAAGTACAGATGTGACTGCATTTGGCCTTGGGGCTGCCCGTTTGTCACCTCTGCTGTAGGTGCTTTTAGGTCCTGAGGGAGGGACATCCAGGCAGGGGCTACAGACTTTCAGAGATCCCCATTTTGGGGCCTGGGTGCTCGAAAGGTATGTCCCGGAACCCACCTCTGGGTTGTGTGAACTGAGTGGTTGAGGTAATGGGCCAGTGGGAGCCACCCCTCCCCCTGTCTTTCCTTCCACCCCTTTGGGGTTAGCACAGATCTGCTTGGGGTTCGAGCTTGAGAATGGGGCGGTCTGAGGCAGGACTCCCCAGCTGCAGCCCTGGTCTGGGAGGCCCCTGTGCCAAGTGTCTGAGTGGGGCTGTGAGGACGCTGTCACAGTGGAAGTGCTTTGGGAGGAGTCTGCCAGAGCTTGTGCGCTGAGGGGTGGTGATCCTGTGCCACCTGGCTTCGTGGTTCTGGACTGTGCAGCTGGGGAGGGGGTGAGACCTGAGGAGTTCTGGGAGGGGGAGTCACCGTGGATCCTCTAGCGCGTCCCGGCTCCCTCCCCTGGGTGGGCTGCTGGGCATGCGGAGGTGAGTCAGTTGTAGCCCTTGCCCTCTGGACGCTTTCAGAAGATGTGGGGAAGTGAAACCTCAGTTCTGGAGGAGAGGAAAAACCTAGAGGGTGATTCAGAGGTGCTGTGGACACAATTTGGAAGGGAGAAGGCACTCCAGAGGGGCACGTGGATCGTGTGGTGGGGGCAGGATAACGTAAACAACTGGTCCAGCCAACTTATCAGGACACGGTGAGGGATCAGGGTGGAGGGGTTTTAGCACCCCATTTCGGGGCCAGGAGGGCCTCACTGCTGTTTTCTGAAGATGAACGTTTGTTCAGGGGAATATTGTGGTGGGAAGGAGGGGGCTGGGGAGGTACCAAGTGGGATCTTCTGTGGAGAGCACTGCGTAAGAGGAAATCGATGTGGAATAGTCTCTCTTGTCCCCAGCAGATGAACATTCCTCGGGAACAGCTCTGTGTGGCATTTCCCTGTGTTCTGACCCCCCATCTAGTACCGGGCCCACATTCCTGTGACAATTGAGTGGGTAAAGGGCCATCTTCTGGTGCAAGGAGAAGAGCAGCTGAGCAGGAACTGGCTTTGTGGCGATGGTCCTGTTTGTCTTTGACAGTCTCATGCCTCCTTCCTGCCAGCCCAGCCTCGTTCTTTCCCTCTGCACAGGAGGGTCTGAGTCTCCAGTACAGCCCCTGTCTGTGCTAGGAGATGATGGGGTGGGTATTGATGATAAGAAAATTGATCTTCTTGTTAGCCTCAGGGAGCCCCTCTCTGGATGCTGGAGACATTTTGAAGACAGCGGGCTCCTTGGTGGGACCGGTCAGGTATGGGGTGGGGCTTTGATCTGAGCCAGCCCCCAGCTTCCAGCCTAATTTCTCACCACTGCTGGCCTGGGTGTTGTTTTGGGGGTGGGAATTTGGCGGTTACCACAGTAAACCCTAGTTGTGGCCCAGACTCCAGTACCCCCTCCATCCTTCTACCTCTCCCCAGGTCAAGTTCCTTTGGAGAGAGGGTGTGAGGGAGAGGTGGCTGGTTCCCAGATGTTATAGGCCCCCATGGACACCATTTTGGAAGCCAGACTCCATACTCAGCAGAAGAGCAGCCAGAATGGCCGGGAGGTAGTGCGGCCCCTCCCATTCCCAGAACACCCTCTGCCCTCCCACCTCCCCTCATGTGCCCCTCTCTCCTGGAGCCTCCCTCCCTCCGCCAAGGACTTTGAGTCCTCTCATCTCTCCCTGTGGCCCTTTTCCAGACCAGCCTGTGGTCCTCAGGCTTTGGGATGAAGCTGGAAGCTGTCACCCCATTCCTGGGGAAATATCGCCCCTTTGTGGGTCGTTGCTGCCAGACCTGCACCCCTAAGAGCTGGGTGAGTGATGCAGGGCTGGGGCCCACCCTGGGAAGCTTGGGGTAGCTTGGTTGTGGGAGCCACACTCTTGGAAGCAGCTTCCTTTATGTCTTTCCAAGCTTGGCCCTCCCTTGCCCATGTGCCTGCTCTTGTCTTTCAAGGGAATGGATGCACTGGTATGGGTTGTGTTGTTGGCCTCGGCCTGGCTCACAGGCCTGGGAGGGTTGGGTGGGGAAGTGCAGAGAGGCCTGAGGGGAGTTAGGGCATAGCCAGAGGGCTGGGGTAGTGCCTCAATGAGTCCTCTTGTTCAGTTTGGGGGACTCCGCCCACTCAGAGTCACTCAGCACATGCTTGAAGACCTCTTGTGCATCCCTGCCATGTGCTAGTGCTGATGGGACCCAGGGTTCTGGTGGAGATCCAGGCTACATGTTCTCTGTTGTTGATGGGAGAACTTCTCAGAGACTTTAACATATGCTGCTTTCCAAGAGGCGATTCTGTTCAGAATGCAGCCCTTTCATTTTGGAACCGTTTTTCCTGAGTGAGCTTTAGGATCAGGGTTGAATATCTTTTGGGAAACACTGAGCTATAATCCTGTCTCCTGGTAGACTCAATAGTCCATCAGGCAAAGACCACAGAAGACAGAACGGGGGCTTTCCTTTGCCACTTTGCGAAGGCCCCCAAGAACGTGCTGTCTCTGCCCCCTCTTGGGCAGGAGTCCCTCTTCCACAGAAGCATAATGGATTTGGGCTTCTGCAATGCGATCCTGGTGAAGGAGGAGAACACCAGGTAGTCAGAGCTGGGGGGTGGGCAGGGTCCTTGGGGGAAGGGCTGCTGGGGCCCTGCTTTGTGGTGGCATTTTCTTCCTGTGATGGAAAAAGAAGGGCTCCTACCTGCTGCTCCATAGCCACAGGCAGGGAGAGGTAGGCTTGGAGCTCTCTTGATGCACCCTCTGTGAGCATTTATGGATTGCCCACTGTGTGTCAGGCCCTGAACCTGTACCACTCAGTGGGGAGAGGGGTGGAAATGAGGCACAGATGGTCAGGTTCTTCCTTTTCCCGCTCTGTGATAAGCCAAGCTCAGGTGTTCCTGGGCCTTGGGACTGGGGTGTGATCCCTTCCTGATGGAGTAGCCCTCTGTGGGCCCTAGTAGGGGATGGGCCCTCTGAAAGATATTCCCCCTGCTCTCGGGGCTGTGTCCAGGTTTCGGGGCTGGCTGGTTCGGAGGCTCTGCTATTTCTTGTGGTCACTGGAGCAGCACATACCCCCCTGCCAGGATGCTCCACAGAAGATCATGGAAAGCACTGGGTGAGAAGGCAGGGTCTGGGGTCTGGCTGGCACTTCTGGGATCCTTGAAGAGATGACAAAGGCAGGGATGGTTTAGAGGGCTGGGTTCTGGAATGTTAGCTTTGCCTGGGACCCTTCCTTAAAGATGGAGTGTGAAGACTGGGAGCTGTGCCCTGGGGAGACCATGGGGCTGAAGGAAGTGACCTGAAAGATGTTAGGCATGCCCCAGCCTGACACCACTCTTCTCACACCACAGGGTGCAAAATGTCATCTCAGGGAGGGCCCCAGGAGGGGCTGGGGAGGGCCAGGTGCCCAACCTTGTGAAGAAAGAGGTACAGCGCATCCTGGGACACATCCAGGCCCCGCCCTGCCCCTTCCTGCTCAGGTAACTCCGTGCTGAGGGTCACTCGTCCCTAGGCTGGGGTCTCTGCCCTTCTAGAGAGTGAGTGTTGACTGAGCTTGGGGAAGGACTGGACTCCCCTCCTGGGGAGCCATGCGGTGTGTTTACCAGAGGGGCTCAGGGAGCCCCTGATCCGGATACTGTGGGACCTTTTAAGGACAGCTGGTTCCTTGGTGGGACCAGTTGGGTATGGGTGGGGCTTTGATCTGAGCCAGCTCCCAGTTTTCAGACCAGTTTCTCACCACTGCTGGCCTGGGTATTGTCTCTCTGTCCTGGGGGTGGGAATATGGGGGTCACCTCAGTAACCCCTGGTTGTGGCTGACTTAAGTACCTCCTCCGTCCTTCTACCTCTCCCCAGGTCAAATTCCTGTGGAGAGAGGGAAAGAGGCAGAGGTGGTTGGTTCCCTGATCTTATAGGCCCCCATGCTCCCACTTGCATTCATGCTTTTGTCACCTGTTCCCTCCCTTATTCATCTAGCACAGGGCTGAGCTCCTCTTAGATGCAGGACACTAACATAAAGGGGTGAACAGAGATACACTTGGCTGCAAGAAGGACAAAACAGGGCTAGGACTAAGAATACCTGGAGGGGAGGAAGAGACTTGTAAGCCCGGGACAAAAGCGGGGAAAGGAGCCAGCCTTGGCGAGGCGTCGATGGGAGGAACAGTCCTGCTGGAGGGAAGAGCAAGTGCTATGGCTGCAGGAAAGGGCCAGATTTCCTTATGAAGTTGATGGAGTTGGAAGCTGGGAAGTAAGGGAGAGAGTTGTTGGAGGTGAAATTGAGAGGTAGAATGGACCAGATATGCAGGGCCATACAAGAAGTTTGGATTTGATTTCTAAGTGCAGTAAAAACCAATGGAAAGGTTTTAAGCAGGGAATGATAAGATTAATTGGGATCAAGAGCAGAAAGCAGAAGACCATTTGGGACGCTATTTTGTTAGTCCAGGTGAGATGTGATGATGGCTTGGATGGGGAGGTGACAGTGGAGGTTGGAAAAATGGATTGAGACACCAATGTGAAATTAACGGGACTCACTGATGGATTGGAGGGTAGGGGTAGGGGCAGTGAGGGCAAAAGGGAGATCTCACAGGAGAGCCGGCTTTCTGACTGAGCACCTGGTGGTGTGGACAGAGGGGTCAGGCTTGGGAGGAGTGAGTTTGGTCCACAAAGGATGTTTTGGATATAAAGAGTTTCAGACACCTGATGTGCTGGTGGAGACACTGAGGAGGCAGCTGCTTATATGAGTCTGGAGCTCAGAAGAGAGGTTGGGGCCAGGGATGTACATTTGCAAAAGTTTTAGCATGTAGATGATGTTTAAAGCCAGGGGAGGAATGAGTCACTGAGGGAAAGAGGGTGCAGGGCTGTGTGTGTCTGGCTCAGCTGTCTTCAAAGTGCTGAGAAGTCAACTGAGCAAGGAGAAGAAGTAGAGGTTGTTGGTGACCTTGACCAGCCCTCCATGTGACAATTCTTTGACTTTGTTGAGACTTCCAGTCCTTTAGACCTGACCACCTTTATATCAGCCATCAGCCCCTTCTGTCTTTCCTTCCTCCTGGTCTATCTTTGATTCCAGGGCCCATCTTAATAATAATGTCCTTATGAAGCAGTCACTTGGGCACAACTGATTCCGTTTGAACCCAGCTGCTACCTGCCTTCTCTGTACCTAAGCAGCCAAATGTTGCTAGGGGAAAACACACTTGGTGGTCCTGTTTTCCTTGATGAGTGCAGTTCTCAAAGGGGCACAAGGCTGTGATCCAGACTGCTCCCATCTCATCTTTACGCACCGTCACCTGATACCCGTGTCTCATGCTTCATGGAGACATAGGAGCCATCAATGGGGACATGCTGCTTGTCCACCACATCTCCATACTACCTGCATCTCCACTTCCATCCTCATTTAAAGCCAGTCCCCCTATCGGGCCTCTGGACAACCCCTCCAGACTTTGCCCCTTTAGTTATTCCCTTTCCTGCTTGTATCACTAACTCCTCCCTTTTTATTTCACCCTTCCCAGCAGTTTGCAAAAACCAGGCCAGGTTATGCCTGAAGAGAGTCTTTAATCTCTAATCTGCTTTGGGGTAAATGGAGGCAAGGAGATGCTTTGAAGCTGATGCGAGGCAGCTGCACCATGAGGTCTTCTTGAGAGAGTATCAGCACCTCACAGGCATAGGCTCTGGCGTCAGGCCGGCCCTCCAGTCCCAGCACCACTGCTTCTTAGCTCTCTCTACTGCTCAGCAGTTTCTGTAACCTCTCTGAGCCTCACTTTCCTCTTCTGTAAAGTCGGGACAATAATAGTGCCCACCATAGAGGAGTGCCAGGAAGCCCTCTGAGATGCTGTGGGACCCTGCCTCGTGGGTGGTGCCCTGCCACACCTGACTGGGCATTGCTCTCTAGGCTGTTCAGCTGGGCTCTGCTGCGGTTCCTGAACTGCCTCTTCCTGAACGTGCAGCTCCACAAGGGCCAGATGAAGATGGTCCACAAGGCCGCCCAGGCGGTAAGGCCCGCCCTCTGCTGGGATGGGGATGGCGGGAGCAGAGCGGTAGAGCTAGGCCAAGCCAAGCCCGAAGTCAGGACCAGCCCCTTCAGCTGCTGGGAAAAATCCACTGCTCTTTGACGACCTTCTCTTTGTGTCTCACGGTCCTGCTCCCACGGGGCTTCCTCTAACGTCTTTTCATCATGGTCTTAACAGCCATTACATCAACGCATTACCTTAAAAGTTGTCGACAGAGCTCCTCTACTTTTGGGAAATGTGCTCAGGAAGAACTGCTCAGCTGAACCCTCCCTCCCACTGGGGCTGCCCTGGGTCTGGAGGAGCAGGGTTTCAGCTCCCTGCGTCTTCAGGGTTGGGGGCAGGTAGGCACTTCCCTCTGCTCTCTCCGGAGCAGGGCTCGCCGCTTGTCTTCCTCTCTACCCACAAGTCACTCCTGGACGGGATTCTGCTGCCCTTCGTGCTGCTCTCCCAGGGCCTGGGCGTGCTCCGTGTGGCTTGGGACCCCCGTGCCTGCTCCCCAATCCTCAGGTAAAAGCCTTGTGTCCCTAGACATACATGGGAGGAGTCCCCAGGCTGGGGCAGGGGTGTGTGGGGATGTGCTGGCAGCAGCTCCCAGAGGCCCTCTTCCTGGCCTCTCTGCTCCCAGCCCTCCCTGTGGGCTCAGATGGAGGGTGAGCTATGGGCCCTAGGGCCATGCCTGGCCTCACGGTGTTCAGACAGGACCCAGGCTGGCCCTGGGTGGGCCGAGGCTCTCACTAGCCTCCTGCTTGGTCCTGTCTCCTGAACCCCTTCCCTCATTGTGCCGTTTGCCCCACAGAGCTCTGCTAAGGAAGCTTGGGGGGCTTTTCCTACCCCCAGAGGCCAACCTCCCCCTGGACAGTTCTGAGGGGGTCCTTGCAAGGGCTGTGATCCATGCGGTGAGTGCCCCCAGTGGTTGTGTATGGGGCCAGACCAGGGTACAGGGGCCTGTTGCTGCTCTGGCCTTGACACCTGTCTCCTCTACCCCCCTTTCAGGCTATGGAGCAGCTGCTGGTCAGCAGGCAACCCCTGCTCATCTTTCTGGAGGAGCTCCCTGGGGCCCAGGGGCCTCGGCTGTCAGCCTTGGGCCAGGCCTGGCTGGGACTGGTGGTGGAGGCGGTCAAGGTGGGCATCGTCCCAGATGCTCTCCTGGTGCCAGTGGCCATCACCTATGACCTGGTTCCAGATGCACCACGTTATGCACACCATGTGAGGCCCTCCTGCTCCTTGGGACCCCATCTCCATCTTTTAGACATTCTCCAGAGAGGAGGCACAATATGGTGTCCTGTGGCTGAGTCCCCTTTAGGGCTGGGGTCAAGGAGGGGCTGCAAAGGAATTCTATCCCCTATAATTATCATCTTGTGGCACCTGACAAGGCTGTTACAGTCATCCTTTCATTTCACTCTCAAAAGACCCAGCTAGAGAGGGATTTTTCCTGTTTCATGGGTGAGAAAATGAGCCTGGAGAGGTCATGGTCATGTACCAGTTTGGGCCTGAGACATAGTTGAGCAGAGAGTGGTGCCCCTGGTGAGCTGGCTCACTCAGCCCCTCCTTCCCTGCAGGCCTCAGCCCCACTGGGGCTGTGGACGGGAGCTCTGGCTGTCCTGCGAAGCCTGCGAGGCTGGGGCTGTAGCCACCGGGTCTGTGTCCGTGTGCAGCTGGCCCAGCCCTTCTCCCTGCAGGTATGAAGCCTGTTGGGTAAAGCTGGAGTACCTCAGGTCTGTCCTGGGGCTTCTGGCAGCCTGGCCCTCAAAGCCACTACAGGAATAGCCTTGCCTACCTGAGGTGGGCTGTGTGCAGGTTTCCTGGTGGGCCAGAGCAGGCCACCTAAGAGCCTTGTCCTGGGCAGGAATACACCATCAATGCCAGAAGCTGTTGGGGAAGCAGGCAGACCCTGGAGCAGCTGCTGCAGCCCATCGTGCTGGGCCAGTGGTAGGAGTAGGGGAGTGTGTGGGTCTCGGGGGCAAAGCATGCAGTCTTTTGGCCCCAGCTGGTGAACTGGCAACCCTTACCCCCACATACCCACATCACCAGCTTCCAGCCTTGCCTCACCAAATATGCTTGGGTCATCCAGAACAGTGCCAGGCACCCCTCCTTGCCTGTAATCTGAGTGTGGGAAATGGCAGCCCTGGAAGGGGCTGGTGTTACATGAGCCATCCCCTGCCCTTGGGCTGGGATAGGGAAGCACCCTCACTTTTGAGAAAGCTGTGGGTTTCCCCATGACTATCTTTAGATTTGGTCCCTTCATCCTGTGATCTCTGTCTCTATCCCAGTACTGCTGTTCCAGACACTGAGAAGGAACAGGAGTGGACCCCAGTAACTCAGCCTCTTCTGGCCCTCAAGGAAGAGGACCAGTGCCTGATCAGGAGGCTGAGCTGTCACGTCCTGAATGGTGAGGGGGAACTAGGTCTGAGCCTTTTGGGGGAGGGTCCTGAGCAGTCCCTTCTCTCTGGGTTGGCGAGTCATCAGGGCCGTCCGTTCCAAGTGGGTTTCTGCACCTGACTCTCCCTCCTGTGTGGCCCCTGGGATATGTGAATAGGAGTGGAACCCTCTTCTGCCCCTGTGGAGTGGGTCAGCCAGGGAGAACATGAGGGAGCCACTAAGTGAGTGCACACTGATGGCCTCCTGAGCCACAGTGGGTGAGCCTGGTTCCAAGCCACCTACTTGAGGTCACACTGGCCCTGTTTCGGGCTCATCACTTCACCTCTCTGAGCCTGGTCTCCTTAGCTGTAAATGGGGGTGATGTTAACTGAGCGGAATAACGCATGTAAGAGACTTCAACACAGTGTCTGGCACAGAGGCGGCTCTAACAGAATTGTCATTACTACTGTGTTCTCAAGTGCTCCTCTGTGGCAGACTGTTGGTGGGTGCGACTACTAAGACCCTGCTTCTCAGCATAGATTTGATAAATGGCAACCTCCACTGAGAAGGGTGGCATCCAAGGCTCAGGCCTGCTCTGCCCTTCCCTGGGGTGGAGTGTGTGTGGGGTATGTGTGGCTGCTGCCAGGGAGCCAGGGGAGGAGTGTTCTTGGCCCACAATACCTGCAGAGTGATGGAGGAACTAGGCTGCTGGGCCTGGGCCTGGGCCTGGGCCCCTGACCAGCATCTCCCCACTCCCGGCCCCAGCCAGCGTGGCCAGCTCGGCGGTGATGAGCACGGCCATCATGGCAACGCTGCTGCTGTTTAAGCACCCAAAGGTAGGGCACAGTGTGGTAGGGGGCTGGGGAACAGGGTGTGGCCCTCTTGCTCAGTCCCTGCACTGCCCATCCAGGGGGTGTTCCTGTCACAGCTCCTGGGGGAGTTCTCCTGGCTGACAGAGGAGACATTGCTGCGTGGCTTTGATGTGGGCTTCTCAGGGCAGCTGCGGTGCCTGTTGCAGCACACGCTGAGCCTGCTGCGGGCACACGTGGCTCTGCTGCGTGTCCGCCAGGGGGATTTGCTGGTGGTTCCACGGCCTGGGCCAGGCCTCATGGACCTTGCACGCTTGAGTACAGAGCTGCTGCCGGCCTTCCTGAGCGAGGCCGTGGGTGGTGAGTCCCAAGTACTCAGGGTGGGTGGGATGTGTATAAGAAGTGAGGGGAACGGCTCCCTTCCTCATGCCTGTCCCCCTCCTCCCCCAGCCTGTGCTGTGCGGGGGCTGCTGGCAGGCAGAGTGCCACCTGAGGGGCCCTGGGAGCTGCAAGGCATCGAGCTGCTGAGCCAGAATGAGCTATACCGCCAGATCCTGCTGCTGCTGCACTTGCTGCCACAAGACCTGCTGCTGCTGCCGGTCAGGCCTCTCCTGCCAGCCCAGCTCGGTCCCAGGGCCTCCCGGGAGCCTCCTGGTTGTAGGAGGGGGCCCATACCTGCCCAAGCCCTTACTCCTCAGACCTTGGGTCTGCCTTGGGCCAGGCCCCTGCCCATCACCTGTCTCTCCTGAGGCCACACGAATGCCTCTTTCTCCCCAGCCTTGCCAGTCTTCCTACTGCTACTGTCAGGAGGTGCTGGACCGTCTCATCCAGTGTGGGCTCCTGGTTGCTGAGGAGGTAGGTGGGGCAGCTGGAAACAAAGCCCCTGCCTGAGGCCTGACCTCCTTTAGCCTTCCACCCTGAGTGACAGCTGCCCTGGGCTCTTTGTCTGCCTTGTGTGTGCTGTGGGGGTGGGCAGCCCCCTGACCTAGCAGACAGAGAAGCTTGGGTCCTGCTTCTGCCAGTATCCACCTTGGAATTTGGCAGACCACATCTGCCCTGGGCCCATGTGTATCCATCATGACAGGACCAGACAAGTATACCTCTGAGGGTCTTTGCACACCTCCTGCCCCTGACATTTCTTGTCCATATGGCTATGGTCCTTGAGGGTGGGTGTCCACTTCCCCTTGCCCTGCAAGTTGGCTCAGCACTGCCACGGTCTGGCATGGCCCTGGTGTCCTCTTGGGCTCCTTAGGTCTGCTTTTACTGGTTTCACCTCCATGTGCCTGGTCTGGGGGACTCGGAGCTGAACCTTGGCCAGCCTGACAGGGACCAATGGCTCCCATGGCCCCCAGACCCCAGGCTCCCAGCTGGCCTGCGACACAGGGCGACAGCGTTTGAGTGCAAAGCTGCTGTGGAAACCGAGTGGGGACTTTACTGATAGTGACAGTGATGACTTCGAGGAGGCGGAGGGCCGGTACTTTAGGGTGTGTTGGGAAAAGCCACTTGGTGGGGGAGGGAGGCAGTAGGGTGGCAGTGGGAGCTGCCCTCACCCTGGCCTGTCCTCCTGCAGCTCAGTCAGCAGTCGCGCTGCCCCGACTTCTTCCTCTTTCTCTGCCGCCTGCTCAGCCCACTGCTCAAGGCCTTCGCCCAGGCTGCCGCCTTCCTCCACCAGGGACAGCTGCCTGATAGCGGTGAGGCCTGCACTTCTCTGGTGTCCTCAGGGAGAGGCTGAGAGCTCAGGGCAGGGGCTTTGCCTGTGTGGGGCCCCAGGCCTAGGTCTCCTCTCTGCCACAGAGTCGGGCTACGTGGAGCAGCTGTTCCAGTTCCTGCAGGACACTGCCCAGGAGGAAGGGTTCTTTGGTGAGTCCCAAAGCAGCTGCCCAGGCTTTCAGGAGGCAGGGGAGGGTTTGCTGGTTGCTGCTGCCCCCTGCTGGGCAGTGGCAGCCCAACTCCAGGAAGGAGGGTTGCAGAGTACAGAGAGGGCCTTCAGGTCCCGTCTGAGCCCTAACCTTGGGTGGTTACTTCCTTCAACAAGGAGAGAAGCCTGTACCCAGTGGCTCTCTGCCCTCCCTACAGCCTTCACTTCTTTCTTCCCTCCAGAGTGTGCAGACCCAAATCTTGCCATCAGTGCTATCTGGACCTTCAGAGACCTGGGGGTGAGAGGAGCCGGTCTCACCATCCTCCTGTCTCCCACCCCCAGTCCCACCCCTTGATAGAGCTGCTCAGGGAAGTCCACTCTGGGATTTACCCAGTGTCTCCCAAGAATAGGTGTGACAGTAGTTGGAGAAGGTAGGATGGCTTTCCTGCCCCTCTTGGTCTCCCAAACCACTGCCTCATCCTTCTCCCAGGTGGGGTACTGGGAATAGTCTGAAAGGCAGCATTTGCACTCAAACGCTGAGGCCTGAGGGGCCAAAGGTCTCTGCAGTTTTCTGGGGCAGCCTCCATGGAGTGCTCACAGCCTTTCTCCATGGCCCAGGTGTTACAGCAGACACAAAGCCCTGCAGGCCCCATGCTCCACCTGTCTCCCACATTTGCCAGCCGGGACAATCAGGAAAAGCTGGAACAGTTCATTCGGCAGTTCATTTGTGGCTAGAACTGTGAGGTGGAGCCCGTCCTGAGACTTCTCAGCCCCAGAACACAGCCGTGCCCTGGAGCCAGAAGACAGAGGAGGTTGCAGACCCTTAGCTGGACTATAAAATCTTTGAGGTTTGATTGTCCCTTGCTGTCTTTTGCTTTCTCCATCCCTTGTCTTTTTGGTGTGTGTGTGTCTATCTGTTCTCCTTCCCCACGCCATGAGAACGCTCTGTCTTGCTCCTTGAAACACACCCTAAAAGAAGACAAACAGCAGAAGCCAAGCTGCTGCTTTGGCCTGAGTTTATTCAGGAGGAGAGCTCCATCTCCTCTCCCTCTACCTGGAAGAAGAGGCTTGAGGGGCCATGGCTGGCAGTGGGCCTCTTCCCGTGCTGGGCTGAGTGGGAATGGATGCACCCATCTCCAGTCTTAAGTCTAGGGCCTGTGGCAGGAGCCATCACACCACCTTGTTGATGATGACGCCTAGTTCTTCAATCTCACACTGGACTTCATCGCCTTTCTGCAACAGAGCAGGCCACGAGGATGTCAGTCCTTTAGTCTGACACACATCTACACATACACAGGCCTGGATTTCTGAAGTCTAAGCCAAGCCTGCCAGGCCTTCTGGGTCCTCCCTTTCCTCCTTTTAGCCAACCTACCTTGAGAAAGACAGGAGGTTTCCTAAATACACCAACACCTGGGGGAGTCCCCGTCAGGATGACGTCCCCTGGGTAGAGAGTGACGAACCTGGGGCAAAAGGGCCAGGTGAGACCTGGGGCTGAGGTGGCCACAGCCAGGGATGGAGGGCTCAGCTCAGCCTCAGATAGGTGTGTGGGGCAGGGCTGCATTCCACTTACTGGGAGACCCAGGCTATCAGCTCTTCTGTCTTAAACACCATCTGGTTGGTGTTGCTGCTCTGGACCACCTCCCCGTTCACTCGGCAGCAGATCTTTAAGTTGTGTGGATCTGAAATGCAAAAACAACACCTTGGGGTTCTCCCTGTTTTTCCTCAAACCTCCCCCTGTACTCAGAAAATGAAAGCACAGGGAGGCCCATGACTTGCTAGGTGAAAGGGCTGTCTGCTGGTCTCCCTGCATATGCTCTTGGCACTCTGCTTGCTCAGACTCAGCATTCCCTACTCCGGAACTTTCTGTATGGACACTGGCAGGCCTGTGTGCATCCACACCTATCAGAGCACCTGCCAGTGGTCAGTTGGGTGATTTAAGGAGGGAATGTGTCCCAGATCCTCCAGAGGGAGAGAAAAGTGGCAGTTTTTTGCCTTAAAAAATGGACATCTAAAAATGACTTGGCATCTATAAAACAACAGAGTAACTGCACAAGCGGGGGCAATGAAGCCTCCAGCACCTGATGCGGGCAGGGAACAGCTTACCCACGATAGTGTCCTGGGTAAGCAGCTCTTTGAACTTTTTTTGTTTTACACACTCACAAATATACCCCTTTGAGCAGGTGGAACACAATTTAACTTCACCAACTACTGCATGAGGTGGTGTGAGGCTTAACCGCCTGGACAGGCCCCCACCTGAATGGCAGCGCTCTGCCCTCTGACCTGCCATCTTTCCTCCTGGCTCACTGTGCTCTTGCTGCAGGTAGCTGGTGCTGCCCTGGTAACACTGGCTGGGCAAGGTCCTGTTGGTGCTCTCCAGCTCCCTTAGTGTGGAAAATGAATGGGCTTTCTAACAGCCATTCTGTGTGATGCGCAAGGGCCAGCTTTGCTTCCTTCCAACTTAAAGACTCTTCCAGATGGTGGTGGCTAGACGGAGCTAGACCTACCCATCAGGGGAGCACCATTCTTTGTAATGCACTTCACAATTGCAGGTTTACCACCTCTGGGGCTGTGGTCCTTTAGGAGGTGAGGGGACATGGAAGAAGGCCTGCTGAGGACTTGTGGCCAGCTTTAGAGACTTGCTCTCTAAGGAATCAGCAGAAGGCAGCTGGTGGAGGGGGAATCCGCATCAGGCTGCACCCTACACTCCCACTTCCTGAGCACTGCTTTTTCTGTACTTTCACGTAGCCGTGCAAGAGCAGGGAGAGTCGTCCATGGGCTCTCAGAGACCTACCTGCTACACCGTCCTTGGTCACCAAGGCAGGGCCCAGGGGACAGAAGGTGTCAAAGGTTTTTCCTAGGAGCCACTGCTTTCCATTGCGTTTCATTTGCCAGTCACGAGCACTCACGTCATGTGCCACAGTGAAGCCGGCCACATGAGCCATGGCATCTGTGGCCTATAGGGGGTATGGGATTTGGCCAGATTGGAGGTTAGATCACAGTGACTCCAAAACCTGTAACAAAGCCTTTATCCCATGTTAGTAGCCAGAGCTAGCCAAAGGTGGTAGGGGAGGGGCAAGGCAGGTGTCAAAGCAGGTAGTGCCAACTACTTCCCAATGCCAGGGAATGTGCCAGTACTGGCACTGCCCCTTCCACCTCACCTTGATGTGCTTGCCTTTCTTTCCAATGACCACGGCCAGCTCCACCTCCCAGTCCACCTCCTGTAGAGTGGGAAAGGGGCAGTGAATTGCCTGGCTCTGGGGCCCTTTCCTGTGCTGAGGGGCTGCATGTTGTGCATCAGGGCCTGGGCCTCTAACATGGGGGTTGCCGCTGGCCCGCATTTATAATCAACACAAACCAGAGTGGAGTGAACAACGGGGGCTGCGTGACTTGCAGAGCCATAGACTTTGGGCAGTGGCAAGCAGCACCACTGCATACAGGCACAGCTGCCCATTGTGAGTATAAAGCAGCACCACCAGTCTGGGGGACTGAGTTTAGAAGTGACCCTTGATACTTCCAAAAAAGGATAAATAGCAAGTAATAATAGCTAACCCTACCATGTGCCAGGCACCTGCTTTAATGAGTTAACTCACTTAAATGATAAGAAAAGGATCAACATACCAAAATAAATGTGGGCAAAAGCCTTGAACAAACAATTCACAAAAAGAAAAGAAACAGCCACAAAAAATGAAAATATGCTCAGCATTTCCCATAATCAGCAAAGCACAACTACAAAATAGATCCAATTTAGCCTTTCAAATTGGCTGCTCTTTCTAATGGTGACAACCAGAGTTGCTATGAGCACACCTGATACCTGATCTCGGTCTCTTGGTCTCTAATATGGCTCCCCACTAGAAAGAACTGGGTACCTCGGGAGAAATGGCTAATTCCAGGTCCAAAATACAGTACAAGATGAGCCTGAAGTATCTTTGCCAGAAAGCAAGGAAGTGCTCAAAAAGTGAAGAGGATGGGAGCCAACTTGAAGCCCCTCACCGGCCAAAGTGAGACTTTGAATATCAAAAAGAATGTAAATGATAGATTACAACATATTAGATAAAAATCAGGAATTCACAGTGATACTAAAGGGACAGGGATAAAAAAAAGGAGGGAGGCAGCTTTTCTTCACAGAATGCTAGATAATAAGAGAAGTTATGATAAAAAATCACCTTTTCTAACCCCCAACGCAATAATGGATTCTGGTAAGGATGACCAGAGGATCCCTGGATGAAAAACTGCAGCAATAAGACAGTCATGTGGTCTCAAACTAATCCCTTATAGATTGATTATTAATTACCACAGTGAAATGCACCTTTACATTGGAGAGATCTTATGAACGTAAGTAAACTGAGTGATCAAGGACCACCTGACATGAGCCTCCCAATGGGAGGCAATGTGGGTACACAACATCTATTGCTCTAAGACTGAATGTTTGTGTCCCCCCAAAATTCCTATGTTGACACCTAACCCCCAATGTTATGCTATTAGGAGGTGGGGCCTTTGGGAGGTGATTAGGTCAGGAGGGCAGAGCCTCCATGAATAGGATTAGTGCCATATGAAAGAGACCCAAAGAGCTCTTGCCCTTTTAGCCATGTGAAGAAACAGTGAAATGACAGCAGTCTGTGAACAAGGAAGTGGCCCCTCACCAGGCACCAAATCTGTTGGTGCCTTGATCTTGGAATTCTCAGCCTCCAGAACTGTGAGAAGTAAATTTCTGTTGTTTATAAGCCACTCAGTCAGTGGTATTTTGTTACAGCAGCCCAAATGAACTAAGACACCTGTACAGACAAAAATGTTTAACCTGAATCTAATCACGAGGACACAACTAGAAAAATCCAGAGTGTAGGATATGCTATGAGACAACTTGCCTGGCTTCTTCAATAAGTCAGTGTCATGAAAGACTGAAAAGGGCAGGGGGATTGTTTGAGATCAGAGATCAGCAAACTATGGCCCGCCTATGGGTTGAATCGAGCTCTCTGCCTGTTTTTGAAAATAAAATCAAGTTTCCCTGGAACACAGCCATGTTCATTCATTTATGTATCAGCCATGGCTGCTTTCAGACTGCAGTGGCAAAGTTGAGTTGTTGCAACAGACACTATATGGCATTCAAAGCCGAATATTTACTAACTGGCCCTTTGAGAAGAAGTCTGTAGGTCCCTGTCTCAGATTAAAGCCACTAAAGAGACATAACCAAATATAATGTGCAGCCTTGATTGATCCTGGGTCAACAAACAAAAAAACAAACAAAACAGTACCCAAATTAAAAGTCATCTTTGAGTGTGGTATATATATACAATAGAATACTACTCAGCCATAAAAAAAGACAAATTGGAGGCTGGCAGGGTGGCATAGCAGTTAAGTTCGCGCACTTCGCTTTGGCGGCCCAGGGTTCACCACTTGGAATCCTGGGTGCAGACCTATGCACTGCTTATCAAGCCACGCTGTGGCAGGCATCCCACACATAAAATAGAGGAAGATGGGCACGGATGTTAGCTCAGGGCCAATCTTCCTCAGCAAAAAGAGGAGGATTGGCGGTGGATGTCAGCTCAGGGCTAATCTTCCTCAAAAATTAAGACAAAATCTTCCCATTTGCAACAGCATGGATAGACCTTGAGGGTATGATGTTAAGCAAAATAAGCCTGACAGAGAAGGACAAACACCACATGATTTCACTCATATGGAGAAGATAAACAAACACATGGCCAAAGAGAATAGATTACTGGTTACCAGAGGGGAAGGGGCTGGGGGTGGGCATAAGGGGTAAAGGGGCACGTATATATGGTGGCTGACAAATAATAACGTACAACTGAAATTTGACAATGTTATAAACTATTGTGACCTCAAAAAAATTTTTTAAAAAAGGTCATCTTTGGGGACAACTGGGAATATT